TAACGTGACGCCTCGGTGCATCGATCATACCAAGAAGAAGGTTCGCGAGATGAACGCTTACCTCGTCGAATTGGAAGCCACAGATGAGGCTGCGAATGAGCCGCCTTTGCCGGTCGATGAGGAGTCAAGCGATGACGACGAGAGCGACGATGACGAGTCCATTCTTACGGATATCGTCGATGTAAACCTTGCGTAAATCAATAATTCTTTGATCTTATATATTCTTGCCATCGAGTTTGTTAAGGTTATTTCCTCGAGAGACTTGTATAAAATTATGCAATTTTCAAAAGGACCCTCGATGGTCTCGTGGACTGTAAAGCACAGCACTACAAGATGTAAAAAACATGTGTTCTGTATTCAACTCCATTGAAGTTGCTTGCCCTTCTCACTTCCCTTTCTCATTCATTCATCATCTTTCAAGAATGGCACCAAAGAAGAGCAAGAAGAAGAGAACGAAGATGAACGTGAATGCGCCTGTTGCTTCGGGCACGTTGCGCGGTGAACAAGTGTCTAGCGCGATCGATGCCACGAAGAATACTGCTCTACTCGAAGATGTGTTGAAGGCGAATGGAGAGGAGCACCTCTACGACACGATCAAGCAACTATCTGTTCACGTGGAAGACGACCCGCCCGTGATATTTGGATGGCAAAACGTGGAGGTCTTTGTTGAAGCTATCCGGGATGCTCAAGAGCAAGCGAATGCACCAGGAGTTGCGCCACTACCACCTGATCCACTTGGTCTTCCTGCGGCGTTGACGTTGCAGAACTTCAAGGAAGCCGTGCTCGATTATGCAAGGATCCAAGAAGCTCCTCCTCGTCTCGACACCACGTGTCTTCCATGCTCGTTGATGCAGAGCCATCATGTGGTATGTATGCTGCGGAGTCTCGACTTCAACCCGTGGATCCAGCGCATCATTGCCGTTGGAGGACCAAATGCACTGCCGATCGCATACGTCTACTTGCCGCGGCCTCGCTCGATTACTCTTGACAGAGCCATGCCGCCACTTCAGAATAGCTTGTGGGGATAGTTCTATCCTTCGAAGACCGTCTTGAACGCGTGCATCAATCAAGCGATAATGACATTTCCAGCGAAAGCTGGGACATGGCACGCAGGCGTCGTGCACTGCGCCTCTGATCCTCCCTGAGCGCTTTTACAAAGCTTACGGGAAGAAAGCCATGGACCTGGCGTTTCTCTGCTTGGACGAATCTATCCAAAGTTGCTTGCCCCTCCATCTCGCTATCTTCGAAGGCGACGCCACGCGCGTTCGACAGTGGCTTGTTTGCAAACCCTTGTGGTTGACAGAGCGCGCGTTGGATTGTGCTGCATTCCACGGACACGTCCATATCGTCCAGTTGTTGCATTCGTACGGCTCCATGGCGACAACAGATGCGATGGATCTGTCGTCGTCAGCTGGCCATCTCTCCGTGGTGGAATTCCTCCATCACGCTCGTGGAGAAGGCTGCACTTCCCGTGCTCTCGACGACGCTGCTTCAGCGGGACATCTCGATCTCGTCCGATTTCTGCATGCACACACTTCCGGCGGGGCCACGGTGCGAGCTTTGAACGGAGCCGCAGCTCGCGGGTTCGTCGAAGTGGTGGCCTTCCTCCACTACCACCGCGCGGAAGGATGTACGACGAACGCCATGGACGCTGCCGCGACGAACGGACACCTTGCCGTAGTCCAATTCCTTCATTTCAATCGCCACGAAGGATGCACAGACGCGGCCATGGACGGTGCGGCGACAAATGGTCACTTGAACGTGGTTGAGTTCCTGCACGTCCACCGAAGAGAAGGCTGCACGTCGTTGGCATTTGACGGAGCCGCCGGACGTGGCCATCTCAACGTTGTTCAATGGCTCCATGCGCATCGCTCGGAAGGCTGCACAACTGACGCGATGGACGATGCCGCAACGAACGGTCATCTCGACGTCGTTGAATGGCTGCACGCCACGAGATGCGAAGGTGGCACCGACGCCGGACTGCGTGAGGCCAAAGAACGCGGCCATGATGCGGTTGTAGCCTTCCTTCAGACAAATTGCATGCCAACGACGAGTGTGCCACGACATGCCATGGACTTTTTCCCGATGGCAGTTTGGCCTTTTGACCACGATGACCACAGCGACACCAGCGACAACGAGTGGACGATCGAAGGGCGTGGCGGCTGAGGCCACGAGCTCCTAGCTGCAGCATATCACGTGTGATCAAGCTCAGGGCAGCTATGCCCGTTCGTCAGTTCAGAAGTGAGCTCGACTGCTCTCTGGCACACTTGCGGCCTGTTTTCATGGTTGGGAGGCATAAAGAGGAAGCCACGGATGCTCGTTTTGCCCGCACGTGCACACTCAACACGCCCGTGCATCGTTGGGTCAAATTACCACGTAAGGTTGATGTAACTAGCCGACCCATCGCTTCCGAGCGCTGGACAAATATACGGTGTCAGCGCTTCTCCAAACACCGCGTCCAACACATGCATGGTGTCGAGGCATTCCCGCGAGAGCATCACGTGGGGCTTGACGTGCTGGGACAAGTATTGCCCTGCTGCTTGCTACGTGTGGCATGGTCATCAACAAGCGAAGGATCATCACGATCGTTCGTTGTGTGCGTCCTCTTGGACGATTCACAGCACGAGCGACGAGGCGCCATACCTCCAACATCCCCACGCAATGCAATGCTTCCAGGCGTTGGACGAGGTTCGGATTCTTTGGCGACAGGACCGGGTCAAGTCGACGCAGGTACGTGGCAATGTGGGGAAATAACAGCGACTCCATGACCAACGGCCCCAAATACAGGCAACCTACCGCCCGCCCATCCAAGTCAAGAAGCGTGATGAATGCATGAAGGAGCGTTTGTACTGGCATACCGACGATCGCGCCGTATTGCGACGTGAGCGGCCGCGTCGGGTCCAAGAACGCTTCGTGGTATATCTTGGATACGCGGAGTTGAAGAGATTCGTAGGATTCGCCAAATCTACATCGAGTTATAGCGGCACAAATCACGCAACGGAAGTGTGCTAAAGGCCCAGGAACATGTACGAGTAGTCTGCTTTGATCAGGATGGACTTGCGTCCACATGCAATGGACAGAGAATGGAGAGGGTGGACGTACCGGTGGCATATTTGTGCCATGAGCTGGGCGGCCGATTTGCGAACGGCCCAGTGGTCGTCGGCGGGGTTCTCGCATAGCTGCCGGTTCAACACACACGTCAAGATGGACGGAATGAGCTGCTCGAGCTAGAGAGACCGATTCGTGAGGACGGATGCATGGACTCAAAGGCCGACGCCAGCGATAGACACGTACGTAGAGTTCAATGCGAAGGGACGTGTTGGAGAGTAAGCACCGTGCCATCCGCAGAATGGCCGTGAGTAGCGTCAGATCGCGCTGACTTGTCTTGACTTGGTCGTAGATGAATTTGGAAAAGTACGGGAGCAACTGATGAAGGCCGGGGTCCTTGGTGAGACTGATGAAAGCGGCCTGTTGGCGATGAAACTCGTCCGACTTGATCGCATCCGTCACTTTTTCAAAGTAGAGTTGCATCTCGTCCGTCAATACATGCTTGACGAGGGGCTTTCGCTCGACGCCGCTTGAAGGGTTCGGGGCGTTCAACGTAACCGACGTTGTCGAAGTGTGATCGATCGTTGGCTCGTCGACATCGTTCTCGGTGATCTTGGGCTGCACGCCTTCGACAGCAAGCCAGTGCATATGCACGACGGGCTCGAGCGGGATCACAGGAAGTGGGGCATTCATGATGTCTGTGACTGGCACTTCCGGTTCGTCCGTGATGTATAACCCAGGACTGATCTTGCGGAACGTTGTGCCACTCCCAGTACCGGCACCATACCCGTACAGCATCTACGTGAGCATGAGCCATCCATGCTTGGCGATAGATGACGTGCAAGGACGATACATACCTCCATATTACGCGAGCTCAGCGCGTGATTGATGTCTTGCGAAGTCAACCGATCTCTGCGCGCGTGCGATTTGAATTTCATGGCGTCCTGAATGATTTCACGGAGCCGGAATTCGATCTCTGGCGCGAGCTCTGCAGCACATCCTGGTTTTAGCTGCTCCAGGCCCAAACTCTGTGCAATGACCTCGAAGCTTTCTTCGCGCAGAACGCTCATGTTGCGTCGGTGTGGGGCCAATTTGAAATTGCTCTTCCTCCCCATGAAAATGGCTGCATTTGGTTCGCCAAAATCACGATATTTTTTATCCAATCAATGCACTCCATGCCCCAATAAATAACTGTTGATTGGTGAAAATTCTATATTTTTGACCAATTCAGTCACAGAGTTGAATTTTGACCGCAGAAACAAACATGGCGGCGGCCAGCAACAAGTCCTTCGAGGTGAATCTCCAAGGCGAGGTGTCCAAGAACGAGTACTCTGCCTTTGAGGAGCGCATCCGAGGCCTATGTGGCAATGACATGGAGAAGGTATGTCGATGCAATTCCTCACTAGCAGACGAGTGCTCTCTATCACAGATGAATGATGTAGGAGAAATTCGAATACAACGAGTATGTGTACAACATTGAGGCACAGACCCCCCAAGGTACAAGTTGGCCACGACGTCGATTCGACACGACGATGTGTCTGCTGTACGCATGTAGGTGTCCCCAACTACGAAGTGCGCGCTCGGAACGTCATCTACGGATCGTGTACGTTTTCTGGTGCGGCCGTTGAAATGCCATCGTCTGGAGGCGGACAGAAATGGTAGGTCTCTCAGGGATGCGCCAAGGTCGAGTTACACTTAGCGTCCTCGCGTAGGGAGCTTCGATACGTTGGAAAGTGGGAGCGCAAGAAGCCGTCCGAACTGTCTGCGCAGCAAACCCGTGGGCATTTCGCCGTGCCATATCGGAGTCAGACCGCCATGTCTGCAAGCGACAACGTTGGCGAGTTCTTAACAACGCTGGGCTTTCGGTATGACGGATATCCACCATCACCACCTCGCTCGCTCATGAACAAAATGGTGGATTCGATTGCCACAGGCAAACTTTTCAGTACAAGCGATCGGGAACGCGGTGGACGTTCCCCAACGGCATCACAGTGGAAGCGACGCGCATGAAGGAGGTAGGTGATAGATGCGACGACTTGGCCGCGGCTCATCCATCCAGCTGTCAAAACTCGAGAGCAAGGACGACCTTCCGCTGGACAGCATCCCGTTTGAAGCGTATTTGGTCGAGGTGTACACAGTCACGACGGACGACAAGATCGACGACGTGTCACACAAGATCTGTCGATTTGCGATCGACTTGGAGCCGTACGAACGCTGAGGCGGCGTCGGGGTTGGGAACTCTAATGCGTCAACTAGGTACTTTGTGGCGCGCCCATCCGACAGCAAAGAATTTCAACTGCACAAGGAAACGTTCTTGGCCGAGAGTAAGAAGAAGAAACAAAAGGTCAGATAGAGGAGAAGCACTGCCGTCGACAATCCTCAGTCTCACCGATTCATGGCGCTGGCCAACGATAACGATGCGCTTCAATGCAGTATCGTGGATGCTCCAGAAATGCAGGCGCGATCTCGGCAGAGGCGCATGATGACGGTGAGATAGCGCCGTGGTCTGCCAGAGCAGGGACATTTCGTTGTCAGTGAGGTGGATACGGAGCATCCTGTGTGCATTGCAGGCGATCGTGGATGCCCGTTCATCACAAGCGTCGCGGTTTGGGCCGTTGGGACGTACATGGCCCAGACCGGTGTAGCTCTCAGCACCGATAGCAACGCATTCAAGTCGACCTTTCATGCTTTCATTATCCCACAAAGTGTGCACCAACGAGTCCATGTTTGCCAGCCGGCCTCGACTCGCTTGAACGTTTTCACGGGATGTACGTTGGCCCACATTGCCGTGCCGTTCGGGACCGCGGCGAGATTCTACTTCCCCCTCGCATCTTCATGCCGTGCATGGCTGGTCACAGCAATCGATGCCGTCATCTCCTTCGTGAATTTGGTCGGGTGCATGTGCACAGCACCCGTGCCGAATTCCGGATCGTCGATTCCAACACAATGTGGGCATGTGCTTCCCCAACACCGCACTGCCACAGCATGACGTCCTCGTCGGTCGAGAGAGTCCACGATGCTCAACGTGAACGGGAATGAACGCGCGGATTCTCGCCGACCAAAGGAACGAACCGTTAGAAGACCAAGCAAGCCACTACGCCTACGAAACGAATGCCGTATCGACGGAACGACCTCATGCGCATCACGTGTTACGTTGGAAGCGAAGACACACCGGATGGACTCAAGGTCTTGTCGTTGTGTGAGGGCACCAGACTCGCAGAAAGCAAACAACGGGGGTGCTCCAAGGGCGACGCACCCACCGCCGGCAACCTTCCATGCAGTTTTCGGCGGTGGCGAGTTGATTGTTGTGCGAGGGGCATTTGATGTGTGTGAAACTCCAGCCCCTCCAACGTTATGTGCAATTGAATGAATGAGAAGTGCAAGTTGCCGGAAACGTGGCAAATATTGGTTAAAAATACATGAAAATGGCGTAAGGATTGCGATATTCGATCTGAATGTTCATTCAGATCGAATGAATATTGGCATTTTTGTAATTTTTCCCCAGAGTGGAACGTGTATCCGGATGGCGTCCCCACATCCATTGGAGGCATGCCAATGAGAATGTGGCAAAATTGGACTCGCTTCCAATCGCCAATTCCGCATCACCAGGGTCCATGAGTGCCATCGTCCGTGAAGCCGAAGCGCGCACGCAAAGATACTTGACTCAAATCGCTGCGACTCCTGCCTTGAGCGCTACTGGGCTCAACCTCCCTGGCCTTGTCACCAAGCATGTCGGCAAGGTGCGCGACGTGTACGTGCTGCCCGAACGTAACCAAGTTGTGTTGGTATCGACGGACCGCCAGAGCGCGTTTGATCGCCAGCTCACGTCCGTGCCTGCCAAAGGCCAAGTTCTTACACTCACGAGCTCGTGGTGGTTCGATGCGACGCGCCACATCGTGCCCAACCACATGATCGCCAACCCGCACCCTGCCGCCGTCATTTGCAAGCAAGCCACGGTGTTCCCCGTGGAATTTGTTGTGCGCGGGTACATCACCGGGTCGACATCGACGTCGATGTGGACCAACTATGCCAAAGGAAGCCGTGACTTTTGCGGCCACAAGCTCCAAGACGGCTATAAGCAGCACCAGAAGCTGCCTGAGAACCTCGTCACACCCACGGTAAGCCCTTCTTCCATTGCCAATGCACTCATGCAACGCGCCATAGACCAAGGACGACGTGCACGACGAGCTCATTTCTGGCGCCGAAGTCGTGTCCAGTGGCCGCATGACGCAAGCGCAATGGGATTATTGCCACAACAAGGCGCTTGAACTGTTTGCATTTGGCCAAAAAGTCGCCGCGACTCGCGGTTTGATTTTGGTCGATACCAAGTACGAATTTGGTGTGGACAACGTGACGGGAGAAATCCTGTTGATCGATGAAATCCACACGCCCGACTCGAGCCGATACTGGCTTGCAGCTTCGTACGACGAGCGCATGGCGGCCGGCCTCAGCCCCGAAAACATCGACAAGGAATTCCTCCGCCTCTGGTTTCGCGACCACTGCGACCCGTACAACGACGCAGTCCTCCCCGAAGCTCCCAAGGACTTGGTCCACGAACTCTCGCGCCGGTACATTTTGCTGTACGAACTCATCACGGGCAACGAGTTTGTGTTTCAATCCCCGTCGCTGCAAGACACTGTCGGCCCCTTCTTTGCGTAAACTGAACTAGAATCTTGACTTGAACGCTCCATAGCGATGCATGCACCGTACGGCTTTTTTCCACCGCGCGGTGCATGTGTGATCGGCGAGCCGCGCCTCGTCACCAGCACCCTTGCACAAACTGACAGGATTCAGTTCGACACCCCAGACTCCTTGTGCATGCTGCAGCAAGGTTCATACCGATCTGTTTTGCAGCCAAAGCCATGCCAGTTCGCCACGCCGTAGCACCACCAGACGACGTAGCTGCACCAAGGACGCTCTTTGTTCTTCTTGGGACAGGTGGATGATGCATATGCATAGCGGTCTGGTCGCGAAAGAACGGCTGACTGGTCTGAAAACTGGTGTGGGAGGATAACGTGCTTGATGGGACGACTCGGTGCTTCAAACGCATGCCACCACCAAAGTCCCTACCCACACTCAAGTTGTTTGGCGGTGTCGATTTCGCGGCGGCATGCCAACGGCCGTGCGAATAGAGGCCGAGGGAGGTCGGCGCCATGGCGACACCGCCAGTAGCGGGTGGATACGTTGCGTCCATCCATCATCGCCGTCGCATTTGTCAGCTTCTCCAAGTTCTCGAAGCTGAACGTGTATGGCCGATGCATGGCGCAGAGGTCTTGTCAAATTTATGAGGGGTACACTACTGCAAGCCGTCGTCGTCGTGGATGCAACAATCATCTTACGCGACAAGATATCGCATGGTCTATTCGATCGCGGCACGTGAGGACTCGGACAGCAGTCGCACAATCAGGTCCAATTGCAGCTGCATCTTGGCTTGCTGGGCGTTCATTTCGGCTTTCATCGACGCCAGTTCGTCTCGCATCGCCATGAGCTTGGCGTCCACGGATCCGCCGTCAACCTTGTCGGCAACCGATTTCAGCACCAACGAGTGACTTCGAACGCTGTGGATGATGGTGTCGAGTCGAGCTTCCGTCGACCGTTGGACGTCGCTCAGCGTCGGCTCCTCCATCGCTTCCCGCGTAAACTTGTCCTTGACGGCCACGAACGATGTCTGAATCGTGCGCACGCATCGGGCAACTGCGTCGGTCAGTTTGATGCCGTGTACGATTTGGTAAAACATGACGGACGACACGTTCTGGACGACTTTGGCGTGTTGGTTCACAAGGTCGGCCATCTCGTGCTGCACCCGTTTGTCTAGTTCGTGGATGCGCTTCGCTTTGTCCATAGACTCGGGCGCGCGCTTCTTGGTTGCGTCGGCAAAGATGTCTGCGATTTTGCGCTTTGTCCGGGTCAAGTACTCGAGTTCCTCGGTGAACATGGCGGTTTTGGTAAAGTGGTTCGTGTGCTTGATCGACGTCCGGACCTTTTCCAGTTCGCCGATCGTTGTCGTGTGCAGCTCGTCCAGCGCCGTATCCCAGTCCTTAATCGTTTCCTCCAGTCCTTTAATCACCTGCGCGTCCTCTTCGCCGATCGAGAGCGCGGCTTTCGGCACGGTCTCGTCGAATGCTGGGTTCAGCACCCCAATGACTACATAAAACAGCACCGGACGATGCGTGTGAGTGCTTGGAACGATCGGTGTCGCCATGCAGGAAACTCGTGGGGGCAAGCAGGGCCACACAACAATACCAGCAATACCCAAAAATCCGCCAAGGTAGACGTCGCCAGCAATTGAACACGCAATACCGCTTGGCTCATATACATTTGAAATGTATCACAGAGATGTGTTCCAGCCAGCACACTGGACAACAATCTCCCTTCAAGCACTTTCCAGCACGAAGCAAGGAAGCCAAGACGACCACTCAAGAACAGACCAAGTTGAATGCGTTGACAAGGCGTACCTTCAGCGCGCTGGCGGAACGAAGACACTCCTCGCCTGGACAACTTGGCCACAAGGGGCGCCGATTCGTCCAACGAGCTGTGGGTCGTGCTTTGGCGCCACACCGTAATATGGCGGCGGCCCATGGTTTGTGGGGGGCCAGATGTATCGAGGAAAATGACGCGGTCCCGTTGATGGCTCGTGAACGTCACTTCCATGCGCAGGATGCACTCGGCATAGCTCCACAGCGCCTCCGTCTTGGACAGGTCGAGACCTCTGTCCACCGTTCGATTCATGGTAGCCAAGAGGACGTTGACAAGGAGGACAGAGACCGTCGTGGCGTGGAAGAGCAGCAGCGCCATCGAGAACGCATTCACGACAGGGTCGGCCATCGCCGGCACCAACGGATCATGCGTCCACATATTCGTGTTGAACTGGCCAAACAGCACAAAGAACGTCGTGGTGAACGCCTGCCACAGCGTTTCGTATCCCGAGTCGTCATACCCGTGGAAGAGTTGGTAGAACGCGCACGTGATGGCGCATTGGACGACCATAAAGATCGACAGGAAATTCCACACGTCTTGCAAGATGCCCGACATCATGGGCAAGAGGTACCCGCCCGTCCGAAACACGGCAAAGTACTGGAGCGAGAGGATCCACAGGACAAGCGTGAGGGTGCATCCAATGCAGAGCATCGCGTGCTCGGGAATGAACATGGACGCCCCGAGCTCATACGGCACGTACACACCAAGGACGACGGCGTAGGCAACGATCTGCCAGCGATTCACGGCCGATTCAAAATACTTCCAGCTCGTCTTGGCCGTCATTGCAGAAGAATACGACTCGATAGACGCCACGGACGTCGGCAAGTCGTCATAGTCCGACGTCGATTTCGTCCCACCAAACCAACGGTAGACCCACGTGAGGCCGCTTTCCCCGCGAAACTCTTTCCACTCGAGGACGAGAAAGTACCCTGTCGTGATCCACAGCACGATGTTGATCGCGATCTTGGCCCCCAGCGTGAACGCGTCGCCTGCGACACTCGCGACGCGGGGAAGGACCCATAACACCATGGGTGCCGTCAACGCGGGGGTGCCGACGACAACGACGCCTGCCATGATCCACTTGGCACGCAGCTTCAGCAACGCGAGGTTGGGAATGTTCAACCGGGGGTCAAACTGGACTTGGCCATCATACAGACATCGCGCGAATCGCCACAGGGGTTTCGGGTGCAGCATCTGAGCGACGGAAAACCCAAGGCAGGCAAACACAATCACGGTGAGCCACACCGCGACTTCCATCGGCACCAACTCGTTTGTTGGACTCGATCCGTGCAGCGTGACCGAAATCGTCATCGACGCAATCAAAACAATGTAGATGAGCAGCTGCTCGATAAACATGCGCTGGGCGAAAAACTAGACAACGACGAGTAAGTCGTCGATCACCCGCCAAGTCGCCAAGTGTCCATGCACCGACAGCAAACATCAGCAAGGCATCCACACATGACAAACCGAAAATGAAAGCGTTGGAATGGCTTTGTACCTCCCACTTGAGATGGAGCACGCGCTGCATGACAACATGCTCAAGGAGCTTCTTGGCTCGAAACATGTAGTCTGAGTTGGGTGAGTCGAGACGAAGGATCGAGTACAGCGCGCTCGTGTGGACGTTGTTGACACCGTACACGATTTCGAGCTTGGAAAAGCCGAGCTCGTGGCGGTCGGGGTGAAGGCAGTCGTTGAGGAAGAGCCGACCGAGGCTTGGGTCTGTGTTGATCGCGCGTCGGAACAGCGACTCGTCAAACGGGGCGTCATCCGCCATTGCTTGCAGCTTCGACCGAAGTTTCTCGACGTACACGGATGAACTTGCTCGGTAGACCGCTTCCTTTTCGAGCAACTCGAGGCACTTGACTAGGGACGAGTCGACCGTGTTGGTGGCATCCAGCTTGTCTTGAATGAGGTCGCGGATCGAGTACTCGAGTTTGTCCGCCTCGTTCATGTACATGATGTCCATGTCGGCCAAGTGTGAGAGAAGCACATCCACGACAGCACAGTGGCCGTTGAGTCCGGCAAACACCAGCGCGGTCTTTCCCTTGATGCCCTAGACATGCACATGGCTCGTACGTGGTGCCGTTGGACTTGTGGATCATGGAACGTACATCGCCCAGCAGAGTTGGAAGGTCAGGTTCCACTTCGGGCTGTTGAAAATCAATCTCGGCGCCGCGCTGCAGCAGAACCCGCACAATGTCGACCCATCCCGCTTCAGCCGCCATCATCAGCACGGTTTTGCCGTTCTACGCAACATGGCGAACCGCAAGAGCCATCACATAACCGAACGACTGTACGTCGACGCCGCCAGAAGCGCATCCCATCGGCTTTGTCGTTGTCTGGAGAGTGGATAGGACGTACTTGATCCGTGAGGTCCAATGACACGGTCACAGTCTGCAGCGCATCGTGGAACTTGTCGAGTTTTCGGTATTCGAGCCAGCAGTGCAGCGGAAACTCGGCGCGCTTGCGAACTTCATTTTCAACGAGGGTTCGAATAGCGTCGTTGCCTTTGGTCGGACTTCGATCGCCATCCTTGGACAGCTTGCGCGCCCGAGTTGCCCCTGGTTGCTGTTTCGGTCCCTGCCAAGCGAACGAAATTTACATCACGAAGGGAAAGACACGCCTCTCCGTGTTCGACATGAGGGCACGTAGGACGGGATATGCTACCCACGTGTTCAATTTCAGCCCCAGCGGCCAGCAACAGCTTGACGCACTCTTCACGATTGCGACTCATGGCCACATCCAGCGCCGAGTTGCGGTTCTGTATCGGATGTCACAGACCCCATGTATTTGCACAGGAGCAAGCGCGACGTACGTTGTTGAGCGCATCCACGTCAATGCCTTTGTGCTGAAGAATGAGCTCCACGAGGTCGTGTTTCCCAGCATTACAACACCGCTCAAGCAATGCCGTGCCCTAAACAAGAACGACCCATTGCATATCGAGCAACTCGAGAGGGAAACTCCACCCGAAACGTCTTGTTGATGTCGCCCAAGTACCCCGCGCGCAGCTGGCTTTCGATTTCGTCCCATTTTCTGTCGTGTGCCCACTCGGACAGGTTCATGATCGAGCCTTTGCATTCGCCCTTGCACGCCACGGTCATCATTTGGTGCTATCACACACAAATCATGACTGAGGGTTCGTTGGTCCGCCATGGAGCTCACGCAGCAGCGCGCGCAGGACATGGACTTTGGTACCTTCATGGAGCCGCCGCGGCGGAGGATGCGCCCGATCGAGTCGACGATCGCGTCGTTTTCGTCAGGAACATCGTTCGCGTGGGTGGCACAGTGCAATTTGCACGAAATAAAGTCCGCCGCGGTCCATCCGTCCTACATTATCGTGTGCTGAATATCATAGAAAGAGGTTGAAGTCCATGGCGTACGTTGTTTTCTTGGTTCACTTTCAGCTTGGGATGCTCCATCATGTCCCGAATGAGCGTAAAATCGCCGTTGCGGCACACCATGAGAAATCCCGACATCCCGACCTAGCACAATGTTGATGGGTCGGCGTTGCTGGCAAGTATTTCTCCAAGGCATGATGGCATCGTACTTGGTTGGTGGCATTCACGTTCACGCCAGGATGGTTCATGAGCAACTGCATTAGTCGTGCGTTGCTATCTTCGCAGGCGTACATGAAGCCCGTCATTCCTTCCTGAGCAACCACGCAAAGTTTTCCAACCGTCACTCATGAGGATGCAGCACAAAGCACTACCTTGTCGGCATGGTTCAAGTCCACTGTGGGATGACTAAGAAATGGAGCGACGACGGCGAGCTCGCCTGCTTTACATGCATGGCTGAACGCTGTGCAATCGGCCTGTTCAAAGACGTAAGTCTGCTACGATCTGTGTCGATGCAATCATGTACCAAATCCACCGCATGCACATCGACGCGGGGGTCTTGCAGCAACATGGCGACAATCTTTGGCAACCCTTCATCTCGGCTCCCGCAGGCATACATCAGAGCTGTCATGGAGTCCTACAGCCACCCGTTTGTCAGTATGTTCGCTGAGATGCACCGCCGCGTACGTTGTCGGCCAAGTTGACTTGGACAAAGGGAGTGTTGAGCAGCAGGGCCACAATGTCTCCGTCTCCACGAATGCATGCGTAAATAAATCCTGAAAATCCATTCTATGTGGCACTGTCGTCACGAGATCGAAGTCCATCATCCCATTCGTCAACGCAACATCGCACCTGGTTCGTTTTGTTTACAAACGATTCTGCTTGTCGATGTTCCAGCAAGAGCGATATTAAGCGGAGAGTGCCGGCGCAGCACGCCATGATGAACACCGTGTCTCCCTACGAAAAGCCCGTGAGCGACATGCACTAGGTTGTCGTCGAACGTGCCCACCTCTTCATCCTCCATGAGCAGGTCGCCATTGTATCCGTCCAAGCATTGTTCAAGCGTCGTCCATTGCTCTTGCGACGCCAGGTGCAAGAATTCCGTCATCGTGCGTGTGCCGTCCACGGTCTGTCGGTCGCTGTCGTTCCCTGTGTTGCTCGCGTCCGAAAATTGTCGATGACAACAACGTGGGTTCAACTCTCGGCATTTTTCTCGAGAATTTTTTTTATCACTTATTTGCCAATGGAAGGTGAAAAAAGATGGTATTTAAAGCACGAAAAATTCACATCACGTCCCACGCACGTTGGTTTATTCGTCCATTTTTTCAACACGTCCACAAAGGTCGATCCACGGCAGCGTCCACGCACGCCCTTGCCGAGCTCATGAACGTTCTCCAGAGGACAAAATCGTTGGCGGGAAGATTCGCTTGCAGCATCCGACCGCCTTTGTTGAGGAGGGGGGGGATATGTTCTGAAGAGAGGATGGCATGGAAAGTGTGAGAAGAACCCGTCGGGGCGGGGGGTTATTGCGTGGAGGAATTTTGGGACGTTGCCCTTCGGAAACGATTTCATGCAGCAAGGCACGACGCTGTCGAAATGAAATATAACCCTGCACGCATGGAAAAACAGCTAAAACTCAAAAAGATTGCAATATATGCACTCCGACCGATGAGTTCGACAAAGTACGCATTTCATGCTACAGTACACCGTAGTACATGCATGAATCAAACGTGTAGATGTTATAAAGTGCGGTAGTCACCGTGAGGACCGTACTTAGTGAGGTATGCAGCCCAAGCCATTTTAACAGACACAAAGGCGGAGCGTCAGGTGCGGCGTGGGTGAACACGATGGACCTTCTTCGACTTGTGTCGGAGGAAGCATGGGAAGCTGTGATCGAGAAGTTGGCCGAAGATCCACCAGAGGACCTGACTTTAATGGACGAAGAGGTAATGCACACAGTTGATGCAATGGATGACGAGGTATTTAACATGGACGTATCGTGCATGTGGTGTCGAATAGGGGGACACGGTATTCACCATGGCTTGCTACGCAGGGAATTTGTCGGTGGTGTTGATGCTGTTGGAGAACGCGAACGTGGAATCGTTTATCAACATTGCGAACCATGTATGCTCGAAACGATGACGCAGGACAGCTGTCACACCTCACACACGTTACAGAAAGGCTTCACAGGTCTCATGTGCGCGTGCGAGCAAGGTCACGATGATGTCGTCGAACGCATGCTCGAAAACTCTGCACTCGACGTCAACGTTGCCGATAACGTAAGCAGGAAGCCATCGAGCTACTGACGCCAGGGTCGTTTTGTCATAGGACGGAATGACGGCGCTCATGCACGCAACGCGAAATCGCCATGTTGCAGTCGTGTCTTTAATCTTGCAGCTTCCACATATGCACGTGAACTCGTTCGACTCGGTTCGTGAACATTTCCAATCGATGCGAGGTGTGATGCGGTTGCATGCAGTCGCAAACGTCTGCCTTCGTCCATGGATGCAAAGCAGGCGATGCCGCCCTTGTCGCGCTATTTCTCAAGCACCCCGTCATGAATTTCAACCAACCCGACGAAGTACGACCACAAAATAGTCTAATGGTCCTGGAACAAGTGGGTTCACATGGGGTGCCTAGAATGGATGGACAGGGTTCATGCATGCGTGCAACGATGGCCACAAGGACATCATGCAGATGCTTTTGCTGCACTTGGGCGTAGATATCAATCGTACGGGACTGGTATCGACGCACGTGCTCGAGGCATTACATTGACATTTCAACGTCTTGTAGCGTGGCATGTCTGGGTTCCTCCTTGTGTGCAAGAACGGCGACATGGACTTGATCTGCATGCTCTTGGACCATCCGTCCGTGGTCGTGACGCAAGAAAACGAGGTCCACGGCATTCGCAGCATTGTCGAGCCTCTGGCAAAAGCTAATGTTTGATTTTGTAGGACAACTGGACTGCAGCCGACTTTGTGTCGCGGAAATTGCACTGCGCGGCCCATGGCGATCCAAAGGAAAATGAACAAATTGTGGCGCTGATCGGCCGAATCCTCGCTCGAGGGGGTTCAGTAAAGGTAGAATGAGCACATCCAGGCACTTGTTTCCCCTGCCAGTGTACGATGGAGGTGTTGTTCACTACTATGTGGTAGCATGCCATGTCGACGCTCGAGTGCCGTGGTGAATGCAAGGGCGCCGTGATGAACTTGGCGGAATGGGCTCACGAAAAGCGGTGGAAAGACATTGCAACCCAGCTACGACAGGGATATTTTGGCGATATCAACATGCCATATCGAGTACGCGCTGTGCGCACTGCCGTTTTCATATTTTCACTCATGGAATTGCAGGGCGGTCGGCTGCTGGATCGATGCAGCAAAGCTGGCCAGCACGAACTGTTGGCGCTTGTACTGCAGCAGCCTCATGTGCACCTTGACTTTGTCAACTACGTACGTCCATGTAGTTCCATTGACAATACCGTTGGCGTCAAGAATGAAATGTTGTTACCGTTGTAGGAGCGTCATTCTGCGCTCGATGTCGCAGTTTCGCACAAGCACGTAGACTGCGTCAAGCTGCTACTGGCCGCTGGGGCCAGTACCAACCAAGTAAGGTTATGTCTGAGGCAAGCTGTCGTGCGATGACGCGGTTATATCACCGCACAGCACGAAGTTTTTCTTGATTCATGCGCCATGAGCTCGACTTCGAGAGTTATCCAAACCAAAATGTGCTTGTGGCAAACAGGACAACATGTCGACGCTGCGGCACTTGCGGCACGGACCGAAGAACGCGGCGATGGCAGCGGAGATCAAGCAAGTGGTTGAGATCGAAGAGAAGCGGCGGAAGGACTTTCCGTTGCATTGCATGCTTCAGTTCCGGCAGCACGACGCGTTCAAAGACGCTGTGCAGGCTAGCCATGTATCGCTGAACCGTCCCAACCTCGTACGGCAAGATCTCCCATGCAAAAACCTCGCCTTTGAACTTGTCACGACGGGCGTGTGATTGTAGAATGGCCAAACGGTCCTCATGTTGGCGGCCGAACAAGGCCTGATCGACACTGTCAAATTGCTCGTCCAACATGGAGCGGACCTCGACATTCGCCAAGGAGACGAAGACAGCGAGGTAATGGCACTGGAACATGATCAACCAAATACATAGGTGCTGTAGATTCTTTCGCAACGGGGCTCCATCGTATCGGTGAAATCCACGGATCATCACCCCCATCGGGTACAACACTCCTTTTCTATGCCTTGTCTTGATAACGCCTTCTGACACTGTTTCTTCGTAGGAAGGGGATGGCCGAACGGCGCTCATGTACGCCGCCAGTCGCGGCCATCAAGACGTGGTGGAACTGTTGCTGGACTTTTTGGCCGAAGTTGACCACGTTGATCGAGTATACTTCCCACCATTTCCTTACATGCATGCCATTGCGTAAACCAAAATTGCTTTAAAGGACGGCAAAACCGCGTTGATGTTGGCAGCCGAGATTGGGTCCGAAGGTGTTGTCAAGACGTTGCTTGCGCATGAGGCCGATATCGATATGCAGCAGACGACCGTCGACGACGACGTACTTCCCCATCGATGCTAAAACGAATCGGCCATTTTGACCTAACGAAACAGGGCATTCAAAACAAGACCGCGTTGGCGATCGCAGCCACCGCCGGCCACCACGAAGTTGTCGAAGTCTTGCTGGAACATTTGGCCGACACAGACATGGTGTACTACATGGATGGTGTCGAGTACACCGTGGACGAGCTCGTCAAGAGGAACCTGCACCAGAGTGCCACTTTGTCAACAGTACCATCGTCGCTGCGCAACAATTGGCGGACTTGTCTCGATTTGCTCAAGAAAGAAATGACATACCGCGCCAACTCGACCGTGTACGTGGAAAAGCTACGGTCCAAGTTTCAGGCGCTGACGGAAGACGAACCGTTCGATGAAGTTCTGTTCCGTCGAGCGATCAAGGCCGAACCGAGCCTCGGGCGTCTCTTTCTCACCGACTGCCTCCGAGTCGAACGCCACGAGCTGTCGTTTTCCAAGCTCGAATTGATTTACGGCATCGGCGACGACGTCCAAACGTCCGCGTTGCACGCGTTGCTCCATCTCGAGTCCGACAATGCCGACTACATGTTTCGAGCCAAACAGTTGCTCGAACATGTTGTGTTTCGCCGGATCTTGGCGTTGAAATGGGAGGTACACCACCGTTCTATCTTGGATTGCATCGTCAGTGTTGGCACATATTTCGTCGCATGGGAGACGTTTTCATCCGTTGACCCGACATTTTGTGCACTCATCGGTTGCATCTAGTTCTTTGCCCAGCGTCTGTTTGTGGAGCAAATCATGTCGTACGTGGTGGTCTTGATCTCAATGTCGATTTCCGTGACGCTGCACAGCCAATCCGACGTGTCGATGTTTCCAACAGAAATCGGGATTTTCACCATCACGCTAGTGTTTGCGGTCGTCGGGTTTGGCGCGGTCCAGCTCCTCCGGCCAAAGCCGCTCTGGCTTCTCGCGCGGTTCCTGCACGATGGCAAGTTGAAGTTTGAGCCAATGCTGACGATCCCCAACTTGTCAGCGCTCAAAGTTCGAGCGAAGTGGTGCATCGTGCTACTTGGGGTCGTGGGGACGTTGGTGGTGTCGATTCCACTCCTCTTGGTGGTGCTCCCCATGATCGACGACAACAGCGAAGGTGTGGTGGGGTGGGTTGTCAACGGCACGTTGTGGCTCGCAGTGTGTTACTTTGTTGAACTCGAATGGCGGGAGTTTCAAGGTGACAACGGAACGTTCTGGGCCAAAGCGTCCAAGTACTTCAAATCAAATTTCAATTGCGCCCAGGTCGTGGCGTATATGTTGGTGCTACTTGTGTACGTGCCCCACGAGCTCAAGCTCATGGCCGTCGTCGACGACAAGCTCGTGCTATGCCTCGGCTGCCTCTTGACCCTCGGGCTTTGGATTCTCTCGCTCCAGTACGTGGCAGTATTTCGCACGGGCGGGTACCTCCTTCCCATGATGTCGGGCATCCTCCAGGACGTGTGGAATTTTGCCACATTTTTCGCTGTCTTTCAGCTTGGGCTCACTTGTGTGTTTTACCAATTGTTTCACAACAACCGCGATGTGTCGGGGTACGAGTCGTTTTTCCATGCATTTTGCACGACGTTTTTCGTGCTTTTTGGGCAGTTCAAGATGGAGACGTGGGATTCGGACTCGGTGTTGATGGCGGATCCTATCATCTTTGCTTTCTCGATCGTGCTTGTCCTCTTCCATGCCTGTGTTGTGACTGTCATTTTGATGAACGTGCTGCTCGCGACGGTCAACAAGACTGTGGACCGCGGCCTAGTCACGTCCAAGGTGGAAGCGCTGTGGAGCTATGCCGAATGCATCCTGCGACTGGAAGTGACTCTCGACCCGGACCAGCAAAAAATGATGGCGTTCATCGATATCCCACCGCTGGGCGAGCTTCCCACTTCGTACGACACAAAAGAAGCGACGCCGCTCGTCCCGTCGTCCATGATGACGTCGGTGCGCTCCAATTCGTGGCAATATGGCGGGGTGCTCAACCCTGCGTTCAGCGAAAAAGTTTCCAAGGCGGCACTGGGCGCGGAAACCCTCCAGGCAACCAAGGATGTTGAAGAACACGTCAAGATCTGGGACGAGTGTGTCAACGACCTGGAAACGTCGACACTGGACGAACTCGAAACTGTGATGGGGCTCTTACAACGAACGTCGCACTTTACCACGTCGCCGTACCACCAAGAGCTGACGTGCATGTCGGACGCGATTCCCAAAGTCATGCATGTGTTTATGGATGCCAAGAAGAAACGCGCGCCGACGGCCCAAACCAAGACGAACCGCATCCAACAACTGCACAAAAAGGTCCACCGCGAACTCATGTTTTTGAAAACCCAGCTGTCGAAACTCCCCCATCGACCGACGGCCACCATGTTCTACCAAGTCGTGCATGGGGTTCGGTTCAACGAGTCCTTGGCCAACTGCATTGCGGCCATCCAACGCCACTTTGACGACGTCGTCGACAAATTGTCGATGGCCCAAGAGCAGAACGTGTCCGACTTGAGTCTTCAACTCGAGGAATCTAACCAACAAACGACGACGCAGCTCGAGAGCCATTCAAGTGCTCTGCGAGAAGTTGACGTCAAGGTTCAAGCGATCTTGCAAATCGATCAGGCCATGCGAGACCAGCAAGGCGAAACACAGGCGCAGTTGCTGTTGCTGCAGCAACACGTCGCGCAGCAGCAGCAGCTCCTTGAGTCCATGGCAGAGGCGATGGCAAGCCTTTCTTCCACGGTGCGTTCGCTGCAGCGACCTCGCTACAGTCGCAGCGCCGCATCGAGACGACGGCTTCACGTGCCCGTCACCAACGTGTGACGCGTCAGAAATGGTGCACAGGGACGTGGCCACATACGCGTGGCTAGCTACTGGATTGCAAGTGGTTTGGCTTAGCAAGGCGTACCGCCCAAGCCGTGGAGAAGGTAGAGGATGGTTTCGACAGATCGGGGCATCATCAACGCAATGACACGACCTATCTGCAGATGTGTTACTCTTATTTCGTCGAGGCCGAGACGTTGAGCTGAAATCCAGCGTCGGACGGTGTTGTCGACACGTGGATGGGATGGATCGAGCTCGACTTGAGCTTGGACAAAGACAACGTTGATTTCATCGCTGCCTGTTTGACGTTTTGCTCGAGACTCGACAAGGCGACCCACTGGTACTTGAGTCCTTTGCACTTCTGCGTGCGCTTCATAAAGATGACCATGTAGACACATGCGCGCAGCTTCTGCTTGGGTTTTAGCGACGCCATGTCCCGTTGGGACAGAATGCCAACCCCTGACAGCGTAATGACGACCCCCACAAGAAACATGATAATCTAGCAAGTCCATGCACGTGAGCGACGGAACTTGATCGACTGCACGACGGCACACCGTCATCGATTGACAGCTTCGGTTTTGCAGATGAGTGGAAAGGTTACCGTTGTGGTCGACATGGTGGCAAACTCTCCAAAGTAGACAGCTCCGCCAAGAATCGACGTCGAGATGAACACGCACTAACCGTGGAGACGTCGTGAGGAGGTTGATAGCATGCCAGTCGCCTGGCACGGCCTTCACGAGTGTACCTGAAATATTGGGACGACGAAGACCGCATCAAAATGCTCGAGCCCTTGTGCGAGCCAGTGAATCTACCATCGCGTCAAAGCGCCCGCGTTAGTACGGGGCTACCAACGAGATAGCCTTGCCAAAACGTAGGTACCTGGAGGAAGATGCAACCAAACATGCCGAGCGCGATGGCGTATGTGCCCACCGTCGTGAATTGGTTGTCTCCGGCGATGGTGCTCTTGATGAGCTCGGCCACCGACTTGGCCAAGAGGACGCTCTGGGCACCGAACACGCCAGAGAGCGCAGGGTTCGCCAGCGAGTGAAACTACAGTATCGCTCAATCACGTAAGTTCAACATGGTTCCGCGTTCTCGAGGACATCCTCACCGTGACAAACCGTCGGTACTGTTTGGAATTCTTGCCGCAGGTCGCGACAATCGACCGAATCCGACGCACGAAGATGTAAACCACGGCCATCGTCACACTCACGAGAACGACGTAGGCGATAAACGCCGGCTGACCGTACAACGCAATGAGCTGGTCGAGGGTATGGCACCCATTCGACTTGTCCGCAAACGCCGCGACGACGACAATGCCCGTGAGAATCAAAGCAGTCCCGATGCCGTCCTACGGATCACGCCGTCGTTTCGAGTACATTGCGGCATGCAGTCACATCGTACCCGTCGGGTAAACACCTCATGGAGAAACTTGTGGGCAAAGAACACGTTCGCGACAATCGTCGACCCCCCCACGGGCGTTGCCAGGGACTGCGGAATAAAGCCGAGCGCGCCAAAGTCGCCCAAACTGCCAAAGATGACGAGCCACAGCCCTGGTCGATGTGGTTACCAACACGATCGCGTTGACGGGGCATGACCCACCGAGCATCCACAAGGGCTGACGAATGTACCCGCGCTTGGTGGCCGTGGGCTTTTTGCATTCGCGCATGAACGAGTACTTTTGCAAGTTCACCCCCATGTTGGTGCACACGGACGCGCCAACGCTCATGATGACGCCGACATACCACAGGGAGTACGTTTGCGTCGAGCGCTCTTCGCAACCCATGGAGGCTGCAGCACAACCGTGCGTCCCGCGAAACCGCAAGCTGCTAGCTTTATTTAGCTCCGGCGAACAGGCTCGTGGGTTGTATCAGCATGGCTTGTTTTGCATGACCTTGGGCAGCCAAGGCGAACGTCAGGACTCAGGACTTCACCATTGCTCGAGCTCACCGTGCCGCTACTCCAGCAGACGGGTTAAATGGGCGAAATCCCCCACGACATTGCCAGCACGCACTCCAACGATTGTGCTGCGTCCCTTTCTCGGATAGTGTTGACGCAATGGGGCGAAATGTTGTGGCTTTGCATCCTTCGTCACGAACATCGGACAAATCGGTACTTGCCTCCATATATACTGCTCTCTATGTCCTACAACCCTACGAAACGGAGCCCTGGTTTGCGATGAGCTATTCGAGCAGCACGTCGAGCGATTCGAGCAACAGGTCGGCATAGCTCTTTTCTTCCTCGGCAACTTCCCGGTCGTCGCCCGTCATCGCGTTGATGGCAGCGACACGGGCCTGGACCAACGGCACGAGGTTGGCTTGTTTACATGCAGCCTTGAACGCTGGTCCGAACGCGGCAAATTCGGCAAGAGCTTGCAGGGAGCTTTCGTTGAGATCGACGTCGTCCTTGCCGACAAACGAGCTGCACGCAGAAATGTACGCGCCTTGGTCCAGCAGCTTCTGGGCGTTTCCAAGGCTCGAGTTCGCCAGGTACCGCAGAAGGAACAGCGCCTTCCGTTGCAAGCGGAGGTCGCCCGATTGCACACAAGTTTGGAGTATCCGCAGACCATCGCATTTTTGGACGAACCATTGCTCGGCCGTCTTGTCCAGGCCTCGGATCATGCAACTGATGCCCAAGATTGCCTTAACACGGACGGTGGTGTCGGGGTCGTCTTGGGCTAGCTTGCTCAATGCTTCCAACACGTGCCCGTCAAGACCAGCTTTCTGTACGGGGGGATTGTTCTGAGAGCATGTCGCAAACACTTCAGCAGCACCTGCACGAATGCTAGCTCGAGGGTTGCTAAACAAGAGCAGAACGCTTGGCAACCCGCCAATCTTAATGAAAGTTTGAGCATTGTCGATTTGGTCGATACGCGTGAGCATCTCGTCGAGCAGCGCTTCCTTGTAGTCTTCAATTTCTTCGGAAGTATACTCGTTAGCTGGCGGGTCCGCGATCAATTTCGGAAGCACGACGCGCGGGTCGTCGCCCGACCAAACTCGTATGATTTGATGCATGCGTTCGACTTCATCGATGACGCACTCCTTCATCACGCGTTCCAGCCACTCTTTGTCCTTCGGGTCCATAGCTTTGAACTCCGTCGGGCGCGTGCCGTCTTGCTGCTGCATGCTCCATCGCAGCAGCCCAAGCCATTTGTTCGGGTCTGTCATGTTCAGCTTCAGAAATGCCGCCAACTTCCGTCCAGTGTTTCGCAGTATGCAGTATTACAGGATATCAAATATCAAAAGGTTTTGCCGGATGCACCGAATTCCAGAATTTCGAGAAAGCAGGGTTTTTCCTGGCAATTCGATGATTATCCGGATTACGATGACATTTGACAAGTGTGACACCCCGATAACGTTTGTCGAGGTGGGGGGGTCGAAACATCGAGCGATGACCCCGGCGCTAACGTCTCTAGGCTTGCAAACAGCACTATACGCACCGCATCGTCCAGTTCGTAGGCTTGCCACCAATGCTGGCGCGATCTTGTGATGCCAATGCACAGTGACGATGGCTTCGGAAGCCATCCAACGTCGACGTCAGAAATGAAC